ATGATGCAGTAGCACGTATGCGGCCCTCCAAGTCCGGAATAAAGTATCGGTTAGCGTACAAGCTCTTCCAAGAGTGGTGCGATACAAGAGGAGTACGGCAAGTTACCGAAGACGTTTTACTGGCATATTTTAATATAATGGAAAATGAAAATAAATGGAAATCTTCTACAATGTGGTCACGATACTCTATAATAAAATCCGAGTTAGTTATTAGAAAAAATGTGGATATAAGCAAATTTTTAAAGTTACGTGCCTTTCTGAAAAAAAAACAAGCGAAGGATATACTGCAAAGAAGTCTAAAGTTTTCACTAAAGACAAGTTTGATAAATTTTTGTTTGTAGCGCCAGATAAGTTGTATTTAGGTTTAAAGGTAAAAAAATATACTGCAAAGCATGTAGTATACTCTACTAAATTATACAAATATTTCAGATTGTTTTGTTAATTGGGGTTACCGGCGCCTGTCGATGCGACGAAATGGTAAAAATGAAGACTGTGGACATTGAGGATAAAGAAAATGTAATAATTATCAAAATCCCAGACAATAAAACACAACAAATTAGATCTTTTACGATAATTGGTCAAAACTACATTAAACTAAAATATCACAGAAAACCGATTTTTTATCAAGTAATAAAATGGAAAGTGTTACCGAAGCGTCATGGGAATACATTCGATCAGCGCAGTAGTCCAAAAAGTAGCTAGTTATTTAAATTTAAACGATGCAAGCGCATACACGGGTCACTCTTTACGACGAACTTCAGCAACACTTTTAATTGATGGAGGCGGAAATCTAGAGTGCCTCAAACGACATGGGGGCTGGAAATCAATCACGGTTGCCGAAGGATATATAAAGGATTCGATAAGAAATAAGAACGATAATGCTCAAAAAATTTTAAACCCTCATGATTCGCCAACATCGGGAATGATTGCTGAAAGTTGTTCTCGACCATCAGTCGGGAACATTTTTGCACGGTTTTAATTTTGAAAATGCCTCAATAATTAATTGTACTTTTAATATTACTATAAATAAAAATGATGTTTAATTGTTGTTAATGACATTTGTATTGTTGCTTTGTGACATGTTTCATATTGTTGCCATGACAACATTTTTCCCTCCGTCGTAAAGAAATGGGAAAAAAAATTGCTGCCGGCGGAGACATCAAACTTTGACAGGATCAAGTTAGATAAGTAATGTCATCATTATTTGACGTTTGAAGAAAAAAATTATTACCTTTATTGACCGGTCACTATAGAATTTTCAGTGTTTAATCTTCAGATTCTTACATGAAATTTCGATTTTGTGTTTTGGCAACAAATATGAGGCATTTTAAACATTTCTGAATTTAAACTTTCAAATTACAAACATCTCATGTCGCCGGAAATGCTTATACGAAGACGGCATTGGGTGGAATTTGTAGCTGAAGTTGTGTGGTTTCGAGAAACGTACTTAAGATTTAGAAACGAAGCAATTTTAAAGATCTTAAATTGTTTATCATGCGAAAGTTTAAATTCAGCGCTTTTTATGTATATTTCGAATGCCACATATTTGTTGCCAAAACTCAAAATAAAAGTTATAGGTATTGAAGATTAGGCTCTAACAATACACGTTCATTTGAAAAAATGATCTCAGCTACATTCCTTGTTTGAAATACTTTTTTTATGGCATACAAATTCTTAGTAAGTTGATATTTACTATTTTCCCTACGAGGGTGGTTTTAGGAGAAGATTGGAGGTAGGCGTGGCAAACTTATTGCATCTGTTCCCAAATCTGGGATCCCAAAATTGACTTTTTCAGCAAAATCAGCTTGCTTAGTGGTTCAGTGTAATTTTTATAGCTGACGACTGGACTAGAAAAGAATTAAAAATATAAGTTTGCTGTCACAAAATGTACGTCGTAGCGCATATTGTTGCAGCTAGTCGGTGTTAATTTATGCAAAGAGTAATAAAAATTTTTGAGTAAAAATTCAAATTATAATAAATGATGAATACGCAAATTCAACTAAAAATATCTCAATTATTTATATAACTAAATAAAATCGGCAGGCAAAAGACAATATTTATTAAAAGTTACACTGAATGTGAAATTTATTACTCATATATTTTGCCCAATCGAGAACATTAAATTTTAATATAACATCACAATTTGGATTTGATATTACTCCTTTGAAATTTTTGATTGGCGCCTCAACACGGCGCGTTCCAACGGGTAATAGAAAAACGTCCTATGTGTAACGGCTGCTGCTATGTTAATAACGGTAGATTTGTTGATTATACATAACACATACACAAGCAAACCCACACCCACCCAAACGCGCAAGAGCGAGCACATACTTACTCTGACTGCTGCGGTCTATAATTCCCGATTTATTGTTCCCGAACTAGATGCTAATGATAAAATCAAAAAGTATATAAACATGTAAGAAAAAAGTTAAAGCAAATTTTTTGGAAGAAGATTAAATTGTTGTAATTTTTAAAGCGTTTGTTGGTTAAATATCAGTTGGGTTGGCATGATATTCTCTTTAGTAGTCACCATCTATTTAGTTTTGTGGAGGTTTATTCTACTCTATTGATTAGTTCCTGCAGGCTGTCGATCTTTTCAGCTAGAATCACAATATCATCGGCATTTCGTAAATTGTTAATTATTTCTCATCCCATGACTACTCCTTTTTGATCTTTTAATGCCTCACTAAACATATTCTTAGAATACACGTTAGAAAAGATGAACTCACTTACGCTTCGTTTAATACTGATTGGCTTTGGGTCTCAGTTGTTTGTGACATAATGGCTGTTTGGTTTCAGTAAAGTTTGACAAGAAGTTGGATGCCTTTGGCATCTAGTTCTATGCTCTGTAGGACGGTAAACACCGTTAAAAAATTGTTTCCACAGAAATAAGTACTTTTCTAGCTTCAAGGCATCTCCTGAATTTAAATTGCTCTTGGTCAATTATTTCCTGACATTTATTGTTAACTATATTTAGAAAGATATGCAACAATATTTTAGCGGCATAGCTCATCAATCTTATAAGTCTAAAACTGCTATATTTCTTAAGGTTTGTTTTATAAGGGAGAGAAATACATATCAATTCTAAGCATTCTGTATTTCGTTGGAATTTCAGTGGTACTACATATTTTATTAAACAATACATTCACTTCATGTATATTGTCATTTAAGAGTAATTTTAGTCATTCAATTTATATTTGATCTGATCCATTGGCTTTATTGGTTTTGACTTGGATTACGGTTTTTCCACCTCAGCTTTTAATATGGATGGCCCAGTATTTGAACTTAAGTTTGGTAGTGATTCTGGATCATCTTTAAGCAACTCTTTAAATAAAGATTCAGTATGTTCTTTAATTTTCTTATGTGGGTTAAATGTTTCATGTTTGCGTTGCAATTTTTACTTCGAAATAAATTATGCTTTCGTTTATACTCTGTATTATTTCTATTTTTAAGCTGCCTTATTTCCACCGTCATTTTGAATATTTTATCGGTTATCCACGCTTGTTTTTATATTAAGTGATTGCTTCACTTTGCTTTGCAATATTAATGGTACTACTCTTTGTGTCATCCCACTTTTCTTCGACTGTTTGTACATTGTATTCTTGTGTGATGTTATCTTGTATTTTGTTTATTTTCTGGATTACCTGGGATGTTCTAGAATCTATCATGAATTATGATATAATCTATTTGATTATTTTTAGACTACCATGGCCAACTCTCGGTGATATACATACATAGTGACGTATTTTTGGTTGTTTCAGTCATGTGTTAATGATAACAAAGATATTCTGAGCAGAACTGTACCAGTCTATTTCCGCTTTAAATTGTTTAACCTTAGACTGAACCCGGGAGTTATGTCGTTTCCTACTTTAGCGTTAAAATCACCTATTTTATCACACAACTTTTATATTTTTTTGTGTTGAAATTTGCTCAATTTTTATGCACCGCCTAATATAGGTAGGCCATGAGTGGTAAAATGCGGATGGATAAAAGTGATCCTGCTAAAATAACCATGCTAAATTGGCGCGTCAAAAGAAGAAGAGGGGTTACCAAAATTCAGATATCTGGACAATGTGTAGGCTGATTTAAGGGAGATTTGCGTAAGGGAATGTAGAAGAGAGGCACTTGACAAGGAAGGACAGAAGAATATTTTGAGGCTGGCTAGGGCTTACGAAGGGCTGTAGCTTCAACTGATGATGATATGATGATGATGATGATGACGATGATGTGCAAAAATTCGTAAATGTAAATATACATTTTAAATGATACTAAAATATCTGATGTGTTGTAACTCGGGTACAATCCTAGGAGTGACCACATATGCCTCGAGGAAGTGTTTCATACGTACTTTATCATCATATTACATCATTTAACTGATTTATTAAATTATTATAACATTGTCTTCGTTAATTGTGTATAAGTACTATTACCTACCTAAATTAAATTTAATTAAGATTGGAGATATGTTCGTTTTTATATAAAAGTCTTAAATTGACTTTTTGTTGTTGTACAATACCTAATTCAATTAAAAAATTGAGATATTTTAAGCTTAGTGGAAAAATTATAAAAAATAATGTATAATTTCTTCAATAAAAGAAAAGTTGAAATTCGCTTATTTTATTTATTCATATAAACCAAATCAACATAAAATCGGTTGATATTATATTTTGAGAACTGTTTTTAATCAATATAATGTACATATATGTCTTTCTAGTAATATATTAATTTTACTTGTCATCTCCATTAACTGTTACATATTTAAGATATATGATGAAAATACTTTACAATCATTCCTTCTGTTTCCTCTGCCGGATGATGATTTTAATATTAAAATTATTTATATATATATATATATATATATATATATATATATATATATATATATATATATATAAATTATATCTTTTTTCAAGTCTGATGTAATGTGTACTATGTCTTTAATTAAAATCCAAATTTGCCCATTTACTTAGTAGCATTACATTACTAGAAAACGCACTCTCTTAGAACAGATGATTTGCTGTGGCTGGTTTTAAATGATCACCCAGTAGATAAGAAGCAGCACCTCCTGTCGCCCCCAACAGGGAAGTAAAAGGTGAAGACAGCGCTGCGGCTGCTGCTGCGGCTGCATGTGATCCGTGGTGGGATTGAAGATGGCTAGGTTGGGACAAAACCTTGTTGGCTTGTTGAACTAAAAGGGCGGTGTTGCATGATTGCGGGCTCATGGAAGACCATTTGTTATTATTAGAGATCAAGTCTTCCGATTGCTTGCCTGAAAAAAACATTGTTTAGTACTCAAAAAAATTGATTTTAAAAAAAATATGAATATGTTAACAAAATTAAATCACTACTTCAATTAAATCCCTACTGGCTAGGTGGCACCTGCCAGAAGATTATAAATTTCTAAATATAAGTCTACTGTATAACATTAAACGGTGTATAAATGTGTCATTTAATCCTATAATCTATTTACAACTAAAAACGATTTCACATTTTACACTTATTTTAGATTGAATAGATCTTGATTCTTGCCTACAGAGGCAAGGTACGACCCATAGTCGACTTGTATACAATTATCTCTATAATTATATCTAACATATGTATTTTAGTTAATTTTGTAGAGATATCAAATTTTTTTGTTCAGAGCTAAAAAACGAAGTAACATCGTTGCACGTCATAATTTATATAAAGTGATGTCACTTATATTTTAAATCTCCAGAACGTCTGCCTTAGAGTTCAAATTTTACTAACACAGCCAGTTTTGGTCCGGACCTCCCTAGACGTAGAATGGACGTACTATGGACGTAGGAAGTGGGACGTACTTTGGGTGGACTAAATATGCTCAATCTTTTATAGGTGTAATAATCAGAAAAATAACTATTATATTGGAAATTTTAGAATTATAATGATTAAATAACCAAAAACATTTGTTATTATAAATAATATAAATTTTATGAAATAACTCTTTAGGTCTAATATTCCATAAAATAATAATTTTAATTAAATAGATTAAACAATTGTACGCAACTGATACGGAAATCTTTAAATTTTATTGACAGTTCAGCGTGTTGCAAAATTGTTTAAAGTGTTGCCGCTTTTTTAGAGTAAGAATTTTATTTATGTTTTGATTTCTTACACAATTTGATCATAATATATTATTTATTAATAAATTGTATTTATAAATACATATTAAATTTAGATTAATAGCTTTAAGAACTAATTATTATTATGTATTGTGATTATACTATGCCAAAACAAATAAATAGTCTGTATAAAGCTTATAAGCTTTCACATAAGACAGATTATTTTAAACAAGAAATAATGGCGTGACGTTTTTACTATTAAAGCACTAAAAGAGGTAAGTTTAAAATTTAAATTATATAATTTTGTATTAAAATGTTTTCTTATGTATTTTAGTGTGTTGCAGTTGTCTTAAAACTAAGTGTATTTACTGTTAATATAATAGTTTGACCAATAAGTTGACATTTAAAAATTCCTCACTTACTAACTATTCTGATGTTCTCGCAATGCTGTGAGGTTCTGACGTCGTAAATCTTGAATGACGTGCAATCATTTTTATATGAAAAATAATATACATTTCTTTTTTATGTGTTTGGCTATTTTTATTGATATATTGCCTGTGTATCTTATTGACAAGAATGTAATGGGTTTTTTTCTCTAGTGGTAAACAAGGAGCACCACAGACCAGAATCAATTTAAAAATTATTAGACTTAAAAACAAACATAAGTTTTTTACATTTCATAAACCTACCTAATTGACATGAATATACATAGTCCATATTATATTCGTATCATATAAATAAAATTTTAAATAAACAACTACGTACAACTGAAACTAGCATTTCCACCACTAGACCAAAAACCCAGTAACTTCTGCTCGAATAAATAGTCAGGCAAGATATCAAGAAAAATAACCAAGCACATAAAAAAAGGAATAACACCAGCTTTCACAACAACGAACAACTCAGGCACATATACTAAAATTTGGCTTTTTATAGCCAAAAGAAAAAGCCCTTACACAGTAGTGTAGACAAACTTAAGCGACAGCCCAAAAACTTACATTGATCAAACTGGTAGAACTTTTAACAAAGGTATAGTAGAACACAAAACACGTACAATACGTATGCACTTTATCTTCCAGACCATATTCAAATTTTTTACATTTAAAATAAAGGCCTTAAGCCACCTTTATTAGAAACTATGAAAATTAACAAATTAAAATACTAATATAATTCTAACTGACCAATTTTAGACAAATAGTTCTCCTCTCCTCAACTTATTTAACTTAACAGTTCTTCTTATGTTGAAGGTTGGAAATCATCATGGTTATGCGGATCCTGTTAACAGCCGCTCTAAATACTTCTGCACTACTGCATTTAAGTTCTTAAGCCACGATATTCTTTCTCTTCTCACATTTCGCTTTCCTCAAATTTTGCTTTGCATAATCAGCTGCAATAAAGAGTATCCTTGCCCTATCATAACATGGCCTAACTACTCAAGTTTTCTTCTAAACACCATAAAGTTTAAACGCATACCAATAAGAGATTACTTGAGTAAAGTATTCTGTAGTGATAATAAATTATAATAAATTTTGTGAAAGTTTTGAAGACAAAAGTTTTCAGTGTTTTATTGTTAGGTATTTTAATTTTGTTGGGGTATTGTTTAGGTGTTCACAATCATCTCTGAAATCATGATTTTTTATAAGTTTTATTTTTTTCTATTGGCAACTCATCTGTAACTTTGGAAATGTATCTTTGACAGTCCTCGTTATATTAATTGCCGATTTTGTGTCCAATGTATTATGTCTATTTAGCTATTTTTTTATTTTTCTTTAATATTCTTGTATATGTTGAACAGTCCTATTTTTATTTTCAACCTGTCAATTTTCTCGCATTTTTCCCGTACCATGTTTTCTTAACTGCTCGTTTATTGGACTAGGTTTTCTTTTGTTTATTTTTCTCTTTTTGTTTGATTTTGTTTCTTTGACCTCTTGTTTCGTCTATCAAATTTAATGCCCCATATGTCATCTATCCTCTCTTTTATTTGCTTTTAAATAGTTGTTTCAATTTTAAATTTTTAATATTAAATATAAAAAGGAAAACTATTCTAATACCTTAAAAGTTCTAATATTCTAATGTTCTGTGTTACGATGATATAATTTGAATTCTGTTATTTATTTGGCTTCATATATTTTGATTTATGTTTGACATAAATCGCCAAAAAATTCAGAAACTAAGATAACTTAAATAAAAATCTGCTGAACATAAACCGTCAAGACTGTTTTTAATTAGTACTTAATATGGTGAAATGAGACAATTTATATAAAAAAACATAAAAACCACGTAGAAACACTTGACCTTGTTAAAAAATCCCTCATTCACAGGTACACGTAGAGTTGGCACAGAGTTTTATTTTTGTGTAGTCGCCTTGGTGTGAGCAATGTATCAAACCTATGATATTTATGGAATCAAAGTAGACAATATCATTTTTATATTCGAAGATAAATCTTGAGTCCAGCTGGTAAATATCAGAAACTTTCGTATATGATATTCGTCGGTCCGCGATTACTAAATGATGCTGGTGATATCTTCGGCAATATTGTCAGGGGTGGATTTTGGGAATAATATTTACGCGACAGTAATAAATATTGATAATAAAAAAATATCACTACCTTTATTTCAATGTCAATTTTTTTCAAATATAAAAACACTCTAAATCTAACACTACTTAAAAACAGCAATCTTTTTATTTTAAGCCCAAGAATAAAAAAATATTAATTTGTTATTGAATATAAATGTATCGTTTTTGAAGTCTTGTAAAATATTTTTATTTAGGACTTGATTGAAACACCTAAAAAAATAATTTTAGATCCAACAATTGCAATTGACTGTACGATAAAAGATCCAAAAATACATAGACTACATAGACGGTTGTTGGATGTATAAGCTGGCGTTACACTGATGAATCATATTACCGTAGTGCTTCTTTTTTTCTTCGACAAAAATATTAATGAGATAACAAATAGGATGAAAATGTTGAAAATAGGATAAAAATGTTGGACAAAAATCAGAAAGAAATAATAAAAAATTTAAAAAATTAGACGAAGATGATGTTGCAAACGATAGCTTCGATTAATTCTACAGAAGAAAGAATAAATGGAGATTTAAATAGGTTTCGATTAGCACTAATAAAAGAAACCAAAGAAATGTCTAAAGGCCTAAGTAATGTCTCATATAGAGCTGCAACATCAGAAAAATAAAGTACATACGACTGAAAGTGGAAGCGGTCTACGACCGCGCATTGGAGTATGCAAGAGAATATACGAACACATAAGAAAAAATATTAAACCTTCATTACAATCGTGGACACTTGTACACTACTACAAAATGCAGAATAAGACATCGTCATTCTTGGCTATTTCCAACTAGATACAACCTGCACAGCTCTGCCGTTGTCGGTGACAAGTGGCGTTTTTCGCTTGTTATTGGTCAATTATTGGTAATTATAATTTACACTACTTTAAAGTGGCATATTGAGTCTTCTTAAATCGTCAGCCCATCTTGTAGGTGATAGAACGACGCTTCTATTGTCTTCCCTTGGCCTTCATTCCCACAACCTCTTTGTTCATCGCCCATCTGTCATTCTGGCTATGTGTCCTGTCTATCTCTATTTTAGTCTGGCTATCTTCTCGACGATGTCATTCACTTCGGTTTTTCTCCTGATGCCTTCGTTGGTTATTCTGTCTCGCAGAGTTATTCCTAACATGGACCGCTCCATTCTTCTCTGCGTGACTCTCAGTTTGGTAGCTGCTGCTTTTGTTAAGGTAACTGTTTCTGCTCCGTACGTCAAAACTGGGAGGACCCAAGGCTGATTCTTCTCTTCAGTTCATTAGTCTGGTTATCTCTGCCAATCATAATTTCATGTCCCAGGTATTTATATCTATCTACGAGTTCTATTTCTTTCCCACCAATACTGATGTTCTGGTTTTTGTTTTCGAGATATTTATATTTAAACCTACATTTTCTGTAGCCACAACGAGTTCCTGTACCATATCTCTTGCCATACCTAGATATTCAGCTATTATAAGTATATCATCGGCGAAACGTTAGTTGTTTAGATATTCTCTATCTATTTTTATATTCTTTGTCATCCAATCCAAGATTTAAGAAGAATTTAAGATTTAAGAAGACTCAATCAAAACTGGATAAGAGCGGCGCAAGATAGACGGGGTTGGAAACATGAAGAAGGGGC